ACTGGATACCACCAATCCATCACAGATTAACCCCCAGCTAATAGCTGGTACTCATCAGACGGCTGGGTAGACAGAAGCAATGGGGGAAAAGTGTCTTATTCAAGGACACAACAGCACGACGCGTGCTGTCTCGAACTCACAACCATCTGACTACGTGTCTCAAGCGCGAAGCCAAGGAGCCATGCTGCCCTCTATTAAATTATTTCGCATGTTGATGAGTCTTTACTCCACAGATCCGCTTTTTCAAATAATATTTTTTGGCATTAAGAATTTATGTTTGGAACGTGCTGCACCACCACTGCAGTTGTCCCTGGGATTTTAAGTTCGGTTCTTTCTTTCAACCAAGACACTGATGAGCATGCCCAAGACAGTTTTAGTGTGAACCATGACCCAGGATACCTTTTGATGAACATGTCCATGACAGTTTTAGCGTAAACCAAGCACCCAGGATACCTTTTGATGAGCATGCCCATGACAGTTTTAGTGTAAACGAAGCACCCAGGATACCTTTTGATGAGTATGCCCGTGACAGTTTTAGCGTAAACCAAGCACCCAGGATACCTTTTGATGAACATGCCCATGACAGTTTTGTTGTAAACCAAGCACCCAGGATACCTTTTGATGAGCATGCCCATGACAGTTTTGTTGTAAACCATGCATCCAGGACAACTTTTGATGAGTATTCCCAGGTCTTTTTTTTAAGTTTAAACCACCTATACGGCTGTTCCACTTGAAGTTTTAGATTTTGGTTTCTTAAAACTGAAATATTAAAAGTTTGCCTAATCTTTATATTTTATTATTCAAAACCAAAACATTAAATTATAAGCTTAAGACTTAGCATAGATGTTCGATTTTGTTTATTCTTTCACCATATCAAAATCAAGAAATTCAAACCTTTGATATCCGGGACGGTAAAATTTAATTTGATTATTCCCACTTCTTAAACGACGAAATATTTTACTTTTTAAATCACTATATGCTTGTAGAAAGCCTCATTTCCGGTGTCATTACTCTAACTTGGTTCTCACAAACATCTTGTTTAAACGCGATTTTTATTATACTTGTTAGGCCTGAAAAACAACCTTGCGTAAAGTATTCAGTTATTAAAGTTTATGCATGTTCTAACTTTTAAGCTATTTATAACAACGCTGTCAAATTAATGCTAATAGATAATTTATTAGCTTTGAATATAGTTAGTTTCTACGTATTGAAAACAATGCTGGCGAAAACTTTGTCAAAAATGCGAAAGGTTACTATTTGAAGTGTTTGAAACTTGTCCTTAATTACAAACAGATTGATGTGTGAGTTTCGCATAAATGACTGACAAACAATATTTTATTTGTGAAGAATGTTCAACTTTATTATCAGAAAATGGAATAAAAATAGGAATCTGAATATCAAACGCACAGCCATCCATTTTCTGAACAAGCTTTTAAGACAAAAAAAAAATGAGGAAAAGGGGCGAAAGTGGTAAAAATAGCTGTTTTTTTGTTTTTGTTATTTTTTTGCTATTGAAACTACAAACAGCTGAAGCTTAAGAGAAAGTTACTGAAATGTATGAAATTCGTGCAAGACTTGAACATACACACCCACAATTTACACATGTGGTTTAAATCTTAAAAAGGCAACAACTGTCATAAAACAAGTGTCAGTTGACAAAATTGTTATATTATCACATGTATAGAAATTGATCAACAACGATACATAGTTCACCTATCACATGTGAAGAAATTGATTAACAACAATACATAATCCAAACATTAAATAATGCTGCGAAAAACGAGCCTGATTGCACCGATACATTACATCACTAACTGTGTAACACAGTGTTTTCTGAAACACGCCTTGGAACGGCAAGTATACTTTTAAAGAAGACATTAAAATCAACTATACAAGAAAAAAAAAACGAACTTTTTAGACTACTCAAAAACAAATCATACTTCGTCGATAGTCAATAGCTAAAATCATTACACAACAGAACGTGTACTAATGAAGTTTACTGTGGTAATCTATTTACCATTGTCAATCGTATATAAAAGATATGAGAATTTATAGTTTTTCTGCTTCGTTCCAAAGACTATATTAGTGATCGAGTCCTACACATGTAGCAATGTGTCCCAGAAAAAGAAATGTATGAAAAGCTTTCGATATATCTTAGCCCTTGTCACATTTTGTACAAACTGTTAACAAACTTGAATAATTGTTAAAAAAAAAACGATCAATACTTTTAAATATTGTAAGTATGTTATTTGAAATATATTGGAAATTCGCCCGAAATCTAAAAGTTTACAACTTCACATTGAATAAATGGTATTAGTTGTGTCTTTACGTCATGTTCTGAAGAATGTAATACTGCACAAATAAACCATTACGTTGTCGAGTATTATTTTAAGGTTTCAATATTTTTGATAGTGTATAAATACAATCCCTAACTGTAAACAAACTTTATAAAATCTGTTCAAGGAAATAAGTCAAATTGAGCTGCAAATAGCTGCTTCGTTTACCGTGAGAAAATACACTTTGTACAACTCCCATGAAGTCTCATCTCTTTACCTTGCAAAAAGTCTTCATTTGAGAAAAACTTTGTACAACTCATATATATAGCTCATTCATCATGAAATGAGATCTGGATGTTTCATGCCTTGATCTGTATGACATCACTTAAACCGGTCAGGTTTTAGATCAAGTCATGCAAAAGGAGGAACAACAAAACGAGTTCAACTATACGAGAGACGATGGAGAATGAAAGAAAAAACACAATTAGAACGTTAGTCACTTGTAAGCAAAAATGACATGGATATCTTCAGGCTTCTTTATAATACAAAGAAAAGAAAAAAAGAGAGAGATAGAGATAAACCACAATTTTCAGACTTAAGACAACGAAACAAACAAATATTGAGAACTTATAATCATAAACGTTCTAAGAAAGAGAAAGAACAGCTATTAAATATCCTTGTAAACGAAATAAATCGGTTTCTGACCATTCGCTGTAGTCCAAACACCATCTGTTTAGTGATAGCAGTAAACACTATAGAAATTTTTGTACAATTCACTGGAATGCATATATATATATTATCTCTAAACTGTTTAACTCTTTTCTATCTTTATTTCTAAAAACACTTTCAGGCGGAAGATTACATAAATTATATTATTTGTTGACGTTATATCATCGCAGTGCTTCTGAAGATTTGGCCATACTTGAAAGCAACAGTTCAACCCCATCTGTCTACAGCATGATGATTGTTTTTATCAGTACGATCGTATTAAGGACCATACACTTTAGAGCAATCAACCTTAACACTCGTCTCTACTATAATATGCGATTATGCATTTAATGCTTAAGAATGCTCATGGTTAAATAGTCAGCATATTAATACTATTATTTCGGTAGTTGTCACATCAACTCCACGTGCTAATAATCTCGTGGTTACATTGGCACTTGAAAAACCATTAGCGTTAGAAATAAAAACCATTCAAAATTCCCAGTCAATCTGTTAAATATATTTTCAAGTTAATTTATTGAACTTATTTCATCTTATTAGTCTGATGTCCATTTTTAACCTATTGTCATCCAATATTAAACCCACTCCAATATTTCTTAAATGCAATCAATAACTCCAGTACAATAAATTACATTAATTGTAAATATGATATAAAATCAGCACTATATAAAAATAACGAAGTTAATATAAAGCAAAACCGAAACGTTCACAATGAAATTTAAAAACAAACAAAATAATTTGTCTGTTACTAGTTTTTGTCATTACCATTAAGTCATAATGAAAAATGTCTATAACCATAGCTCTCAAAAGCGTTGTGGTTATTCAATATATTAGACATGACCCAAACGCAGATGTCGAACTAATTAGCAGCCGCGGAGAACCAATTAGGGGCTAGGAGTTAAACCCACAACGTCTCAATTCCTACCCCTTTGTGATTGTTTGGAGTTAACCACATAGCTACACAAAGGGATATCTGTGCTCTGCCCACCAGGGGTATCGAATCCCAGTTTCTAGCGTTGTAATACCTTTTGCTGTCTACAGCCAGTTGTGGGAAGATAGTCACCCCAATATTTAAAAATTAAGAAAAAACTCTCAACCTCACCCTTTTGATGAGTATAACAAAATTATGTTAAATAAGGCAGTCTAGAATGTTATTAACTACAATATATACGGATTTAGTAAGGGTGTTCAAAGGCTTTTTATGCAATTTTGGAATTGTGTACAAAAATGGCAAATTAAAACAAGTAGAATTTATATCTATGTTTCATTTTTAATCGATTTCTTCAAATTAATGATAACTGTATTTTTGTTTAATGTACTTTGATAAATATTTTACTTGTATTAATTTCATAAATTAAAATTTGTGCATTTTTAGATACAAAACCAGAATTACAACCTGCTTTATCAATAAGGATAATAATAATAAATTATTCTTGAATTTCTCTAATTCTATTATTCACTATATTTTTTAAAATATATATTTTATATTTAGATAAATTTAGATTTAGATATTGTTTTCGTGGAAAGCAGAGTATAGTTAACTATTTTTGACAAAAGAAAGGATTTTAGTTCTCCATCTTTGGTTTACCCACTCCAAACAGTGTAGTTCCGTTTGTATTATTAAAATGAATTGTTATTTCTCAAATAAAAAGATATTTGACAGTTTGTAACTATTAATTCCATTATGGATAATGTTCAATTATTAACAAACAAATTAAAACAATAATGGTTACAAAGATCGGCAAATAAAAAAAATTACGCACTTTTATAATAAATATAATAACATATTAAAAATAAATTTTTGATTACTGTAATTACGTTCTGGAAAACATAAAGAGCTCGCTACTTACTTAAGGTCTTTCCAAGTTTGTCAATAGTTAACTATAAATGTCTTAGGTAGTTGTTCAGTATGCTGGGACGGGAAGACCAACTTCAGGTAACTAGGCTTATCTCACCTCACCCGATTTATACTTGAACATTTCTTTCTTTTTCTTTTCGAAAGAAAGAAAGGTGGGTGTGTGTGTTTAAATAATTATTACAGAACTATTGAGGTAAGAGTTCTAGTTCTATTTAACACCACTGAACATCATTTTATAATAAATATTAAAAGGTTGGAGTTTTTAAAATTGTAGAAATATAGGGTGGTTTACTTCTATTACTACAAGTTTTTTCTTTATGTCTAAAGATTGGGGTTGACTGCCTTCCCACAACTGGCTGCAGACAGCGAAGGACGATAGGAGTTAAGACGTTGTGAGTTTAAACACTTATCTTCTAACCCCTAATTGATTCTCCGTGGCTGCTAACTAGTTCGACATCTGCGTTTGGATCAGGTCTGATAAATGGAATATCCCCAACGCTTTTGGGAGCCGTGACCATATACATTTTCCGCGATGACTTAATGGTAATGACAAGAACTGGTAATAGACAATTTTTTTAGAACATTGTGTGTACATTATTTGATATTCAACCGTGGCTAGCGTATATATATAATCAACATATACTAAATCAAAAAGCACATTTATCAAATTTATGTTTCCAGTTGGTATTAATATTTAAAATGTTACTTAATTATTAAAATTAACTATTAGACGAGTTGTTAGGTTCCCTCTTATTATTATAACTTTTAAAAACAGGATCTCGATATCCGTAGTGGGCACAGCACAGATAGCCCATTGTGTAGCTTTGTACTTAATACCAAACAAACAAACCCTCTTTATATATATATATAAGCTTTCCTTTTCCAAATGTTTGTTCTTCGTTTATAATTAGTCTTATGAATTTTATACAATTCAAATAACTGAAGAAAGGATATAGTACTCTTTTGTTTTCAGTTTTAAATCAAACAAATTAAGTCCGAAAGCAGGTAAAGTTATGCTTTGAAAATTCCATTCTGATTCCCATTTCCTGGCCTGGTGGTTAGGACACTCGATTCGCAATCTGCGTGTTCGAATCCCTGTCACATCGAACATGCTCGCCCTTTCAGCCGTGGGGGCGTTATAATATGATTCGTTGGTAAAAAAAGAGTATCTTTGCGCGAAAAACAAAACCAATTTATCCCCCCCCCGGAACAGCACATGCAGGCCTTGTATAGCTTTGAGCTTAACAACAAAAGAAAGAAAGCTTCCAATTTTGAGTAAGACCAAAGCAGAATTATATTTTGGGTAATTTAATGTCACACACATAACTCTCTCTGGAGTTCCTAGAATAACGTTCATCTCTATCTGTGTCGAACATGACTGTAGTACACAAGGTTAAAGCAAAATGAGTTTTCGCCAGGTGTTCTTAGCGTATTCTTCACAATTACTAGTTTCTAACATTCGGAACACTAGAAACTAATTGTAATTCCAGATTGCATAGAGCGCTTTCATTTTAAAGTTTAAGGAAATCGTTCCGTTTTAGAAATAAGGATTCTCGTGGTTAAAGTATTTTAGGAAAGGTGCAAAATTTTCCAGAGAAAAATGATCAGTAACTGTTAAAAAGATACGGCAATATTTAAGATTCATAAACATGGGAAAATTTCAAAGCTATATTAAATGCTGTATATAACATTAAACTTACTGAGCCAAAATCGCTAGTATTAAGAAAACACATACAACAACAGGACTAGCGGATGTTTATACACTAGACTAAAGTCGAATTTTATATTTCAGGTTAGAGTTCAAATCCTACACGGAAATGATAGCATTTTGTATACTCGGCCAAGATGAGATACATTTAGTCATTGGTACCTATTGGATAGCTTCAGGTCTGACCTGAAAAGGCATTTTCAGAAAAACTGAACAATTCCAATGATTTGAATGACGTGATGATTACATATCTTCAACCTATTCGTAGAGAACAGCCAGATTAGATAAAAAGAGAAAAAAAAAATGATTGCATACTTGTGTATCTACACATTATTGAAAAGCGTAATAAAATAATTAGTTTAAAGTAACTAAGAGCCATCAACTTGTAACCATTTAAATTTAAATATCTTTAAAGTTATGTACAGTTTAATACATTATCAGGTGGACACAGAGTGGATTAAATATTTGTGTTGATTATGCAGAGTTCTTTTCACCAAACACAGCAATTATGTCCTCCAGTGGAACAGCGGTATGTCTGCGGACTTACAACGCTAGAAACCGGGTTTCGATACCCGTGGTGGAAAGAGCACAGATAACTCATTGTGTAGCTTTGTGCTTAATTACAAACAAACAAACACAGCAATTAAGTCTTATTTTTAAGGAACCACTTCGTGGATGCTATACTCTGACTGACTCTCTTCTCTGGCTTAAACCTTCTTTGGCTGAGGCAGCAACATGAAGGCTGTAATGGTATTATCACATTGAATCGTTCTTACTTCTAATGCTAAGTTTATTCTATGTTCAACTAATCCCAAAAGTTTTTGTTTTTCATATATATCTTTCTCATAGTTTAGGGATAGTACCTTCAAGGCCACTAACAAGCCAAATATGTTGAACCCAAAACACACATTCAAAGTTCGACCAGATTCCACTTTGAAGATTGCTCTTTGACCTTTCAGTTATTAATAGTATGATATACACGTTTTATTTATTTTTATAGAGAGGTCTCATCCTTCCCACTACGTGAAAAATAAATTACTAACACTTTCACTACACATTAACATTTTATCTTTGGCGCCAACTTTCTTTATTATAATGTTTTTTTTCCCACTTCATCATCAACATCCCAGTCTTGACCCTGATCCTGTAGACATCTCTCAAGTCTTTCAATATTATGTTTTCTATGGATTTTGATGTTTCCTTGGAATTCCTTGTTTTCAGTGGCTGTCAAGCCTTCTTTATTTGTGACTTCTAATATTAGATCCCTATTTACGGGTTCTTGCTTGCTCCTAGATTTTATATCAGGAGCTGGAGCAGGTTCAATGCATACCGTGTGTTCCTTGGATACACGAAGATCAAACTGTCCAGTTTGAAGGACACAAACACCATTTATTATCTCTTCATCCCCTTTTTTAAGTGGTTCTTCTTCATTGTTTTCACTTTCACTGCAGAGATCACTATCAGGAGACATTTCCATCCCGGGGTCTACCCATTGTGGCATAGCAGGCTTTCTCCTTTTACTGCTACTAGATGGCGCGCTCACTGAACTTTTAAAATCTTCTTGTTCCTGCCGCGTATCGTACGAAGACAAAGACTCTCTGTCACTACTTTCTGACAGACCTCGGTCGTATGAATAGCTCGAGTCTTCATTGAGCTCGCTGTTTGTATGATCATCAGTTTCACCAGTTACAGTTTCTGAAGTGAATTGAAAATCATAAGCGTTGTTACTTCTTCGGGGGAAGAGTTGACTAGATACACTCAAATCTAATGTACCGAAGCTATCATTGAAGGTAGATTGCCCAGCAGTGTTCTGATAAGTTGAGTACATTTTATGAAATGTATTATTGCCTTTGTTTCGGGTCAGCTCTGCAAGCCTGTGATTTAAAATCATTCGAAACTGAACAGGGTCGAATTTTGTGCCCTCTTTCACCCCTGACGCTAGGTGCTCTGGATTTGTTTCACTGTCATCATTCTTAGATAGAGGTTGTTGTTTGAGACGCATGCGATGATTGTGAAACCAGTTGGTTATTGTTCGCACTGATAAATTGAGCTCGCTGCTCAGAAACTCAATTGTTGCTGTACTTGGATACGGATCCATGGAGAACACTAAACGTAGTGCTTCCTTTTGCTCCTCAGAAAATAAGATCCGTTGTTTTTTGGTTGAAAAATATTGAGATGGAGGAGGGAAAGCATGATTATACGTGTGGTTTTCGTAATGAGACCAATTGCCATCCATGTAGGTTTCATTCTTTCTTCTTTTGTTTGCTAGAAATTTTAAAACAACAGTGATTAATAAAATATATTGAAATTTTACCAGGAAAAAAATAATAATTGATACTGATAGTAGAGTTTTACAAATAAGTATTTGGTGACGAATGGAAATTTCAAGTACAATAACGGAAACTTTACAGAATTAATAATATAGTATTGTAAAAAACAAAAAAAAACGTGTTTACATTAAGGTTGTAGATATCAGTCGTTTGCCTGATTAGTAGCCTATACGACCATTTAAGTTAGAACTAATTGATAATAAGGTTTAGGTGATTGTATTGTGAAATCGAAGTACGTTTACGATCATAAAAAATATCTTGGTATTATTTCGTTGTTTCTTTATTAGTTATTTCGTATTGTAAACTGCTTTGCAAATTATTTTGTTTTTAATCTAATATTGACTTTGTAAAAGATAGAATATAAGTTTGTTTACACAGTATCCTACAGAAATGGAAAGATACGCGCATCATGAGCACATTTAATTAACATTAAAAACATGCAAGAAATTTTCTGATTATTAAAAGTAAAAAAAGTACTCCACCTCCTCTTCTCTGATTTTTAAGAGCTTGCAGCTTTTCTAGGTTCTTTGTGTCATTTAACCACAACTGCATACGGATAAAAGGTTCTCTTCCTTTAATACTGAGCATGTGCCATGGTTTTGGTTTTGATAATAATTCACTAACAGATCCCTGAGATAGACCCAGAACAACCTCACCAAAAATCTGAAATAAAGGAGATCATATATAGACATAAAAAACTTCATTATTTACCGTTATACATTTTTTTTTCAAAACAATTGAACGTTTTTTAATGTATCATTTCAAATAAATATTAGTTTGTTTTGAATTTCGCGCAAAGCTACACGAGGGCTATCTGCGCTAGCCGTTCCTAATTTAGTAGTGAAAGACTAGAGGGAAGGAATCTAATCATCCCCACCCACCGCCAACTCTTAGGCTACTTTTCACCAATGAATAGTGGGATTGACCGTCACTTTTTAATGCTCCCATGGCTGAAAGGGCGAGCATGATTGGTGGGACGGGGATTCGAGCCCGCAACCCTCAGATTACGAGTGAAGTTCCCTAACCACCTGGCCATGATGGGCCTTTATAAATATTAGTACGCTGAGAAAAAAAAAAGATAAGATATGCTGAACAAATTTGTTTACTGACACTAGACAATTTCAGCTTGTTTGTACAAAAGGTAACTTTGAAGACACTGTAAACCTTAAACTATGTAACTTTAAGCTCTAGAAGTAAAGGGACAAAAACATAACTAGTTCATAAAAGAAATTTGTTGAAAAGAGCGTAAAAAATCAAACTGTACATGAAAGCTCATTTACAGGGCAAAGAGAAGCTTGAAAGAAGTGCTAGTATGCGTGTTATGTCTTGTTTGCTCACGAACTTTCGTGTGTGTGGTAAATCAGAGTGAAACGGTCTTTATTTTAAGTAAAATGGTTTATTCAGTTGGAAACTGAAGTTTGACATATATAATTTTTCTACGCTAGTGTTTTAAACCGATTATTTTAGGATGAACAGGTGACTCGCAGACATAATTTGAAATATAAACTTTTTGTTTCATTGGTGATATGTTAATGCTCGTAGATTAATTTTATCTGTAACAATTCGTTTGTTCTAGTTCTTCAACAGAAAAATATACTTAACTTAAATTTTCCTTATAACGCTAAAAAGTTAGCTCATTGTTTGTTTGGTTTGAATTTCGCGCAAAGCTACACCAGGGCTATTTTCCCTAGCCGTCCCTAATTTAATAGTGGTCAATCCCACTATTCATTGGTAAAAGAACAGCCCAAGAGTTGGCAGTGGGTGGTAATGACTAGCTGCCTTCTCTCTAGTCTTACACTGCTAAATTAGGGAGGGTTAGAGCAGATAGCCCTCGTGTAGCTTTGCGCGAAATTTAAACCCAAACTGTACCAAACGGTAAAAAAAAACCCAACTGGCTAGTTAATCCTTATTTCAAGCTTGTATTTCTCATAAGATCACATCATCATTCACTAAAACTGTTCTCTATTTCGATAACATCTTCCTTATTCTTCACTTGAGCCGTCTAATAATTTGTTTAGAGGAATTGTACCCATTTCTCGGTTATTTAAGAAAAATCTTAATATAACATTAAGTCCAGCGCCTTCCGTCCACACCCATAAACGTGTTGTCCATGATAACAAGCAAACATTCAGGCTACAAAAGAATACAGGTTGTTTTTTTATAAACCTGCTCGAAGACATAACGTAGAAAATCATAAAATTTTAGTTATTTGTACTAATGACGGATTGTTTAAAAGTTGACCGTTTCAAAACAACTTGGTGGTTAGTGTGCTGGACTGCAGAACAGAGGTTCTGTGGTTCGAGCCCAGTTACTGTCAAAAAAAAAAATCACAGTCCGCACTTTGGTACCGTGGGTGCGTTATAAGATTGACGATCCAATTCCACTGAAAAAGTCGGAGGTGGATAGTGTTGACCAACTGCTTCATCTCTGGTTGATTGTTTGGGACTTACTGGCGCAAAGCTACGGGACTACTTGCGCCCCTCTCTGGCCAATCATTTCAAAATTAGGGTCAATTAATGCAGATAGCCCTCGTGTAACTTTACGCGAAATTCAACAAAGTGCATCGGCCATGTTAATATTTAAAAAGTTCTAATGTGTAGTATCGTATAATAATCTAACGTGCTTTCAGTTCAAAATTATTTATCTTGTCGTTTATATAAACAAATTACATTAGTAATCAAAAATAGAATACAAAATCAAAGATGATGTGGAGGTTTGTTTGTTAATATAATTGAATACAGTAGAAAACTTATCAAGACGAATTAAAATTATGTAAATGAATGTTATTTATGTTGGTTGTATATGGTTACCTGAGGTACAGCAATATTATTCAGTTTTGTGACTAAATGTTTAGGTTTAGACCATCAGGATTTATCATTAATTTCGAGTCTTACTGTGAAAGTTTTATATGTTTAAGTACATTTAGAATGTGGGCATTAATAGGATTAAAGGCTAATCGAAACTTAAGTAGAAGTTGTGTCATAAGAAAAAAACCCAGGTAGAATTAATAACCACTAATCAACTATAAATAACGTGTAACGCAAGGTAAAATAAAAGCTAGTTTTAGTAAACAGTCTGTATTTTGTGATTTTGAAACATTATTCTGTAAACACTGTTTATTAGTACGCTAACAAACACATCACATGTATCGATAACATTTAAATTTGCATTTTTGAGTTCCCTTCAAGGTGAGGTACGATTAGATCATTGTCGAGGGGTATCACAGATTTTTGATGTCGTTACAAGGATTTGGTGTTTTTCTTTTCAGGGGTTGAGTAGTCTGAGACACACTAGAGATGTAAATAAAAAGAGAGTCCTAAAGGAAGGAGATAAATGTCTGCTGAAGCTAAGAATACTTTGCAGAAGTGTCGACTTCTGCGATGACAGCCTTGCTTCTGGAATCAGATAATTCAACAGCCTTTCAAAGATTGAGACTAGCACACAATTATTTATAATGGAAGACCATTAGCTACAGGAAGGAAAAACAACCTTCTGGAGAAATGAAGATGGGCTTAAAAGTAGATAGTTAAAGAAAGTCATCCCAACAGCTGGCAAAGACACTAATAAAGACATCTTGACTAGTGTTGCAAGGCTGCAAAAATGAAATGGACCCTAAATGGTGTTGTGGAAGGAAGTATCTCTGCGTTTGTTTCAAAAGGAGATTTCATTGGTCTGAGGCCAGTGTGTACGAATAAGTCCATTTATACCTGGAGAGAAGAATAACTGATAAATATTATTAAAGGCAATATGAAAGTACCTTGTGCAATCAAGAACAGTGAGACTTAATTTTTACAGTGCAGTAGAGTGACAGGTTACAATATTTAATCTTCTTATAAAGATGGACGATCTGCGATAAAAATCCAAAAGAACGGTAGAAGTCCTTACATGTTGAATGTGTCCCGCACTCTTATGTAAACATCTTTATAAAATCAGTTGGAAGATTAAGTATGATATTAATTACCTATCATCGCACTGACACGGGGATGCATATCCTTCAGGCTGCTTCGGATCACAAAATCGTCGGCACCACTAGTGATTGAGAAAGGGGAATTTTGACAAAAGCATAACTATGAAAACAATAATTTGGACTGACCCCGTAAAAAGTAGCTATAAATAAGGTCATTTCACACCCACAAAAGAAGTGTGGCCTATACTGTATAACAGCTCGGGACAAACATACGTAAGGTACATTCATTAATCAGTTTACTACCAGAAGGTATCTTCACATAAGGATTTAGCGTAGCTCTGGATATGCTAAATTCTTAATATAAAATATTTTATCTAGTTCTAAGGAGGGCATGGTTAATGAATTATGAGGTTCAGTAATCACTTGAATGAGTATAAGGATAGCCTTACGTCTTAAATAAAACGTTAAAATACTGTTTATGTAAGCATTAACTAAAAGATGCAGACATGACAGATATAGAATATACGAAAAATGAAGACACACTGAGGAATACCTAGATTGTGAGGAGAAAAAAGTTAATCCTTTAAAAGTATGGGATGAGTAACAGGTGGAGGCATAATTAAGAGTTTCTGAAGTCGCCAGGACATGTTGGTAGATCATATTGCCTTACGGTCTGGAATACAGTTTCTAAAGGCGATTATGAAGATTTAAGAGACGAATTTCTCTCTTACGAATGCCTGGTTGGACACACTGTTGTTAACTTACTTTAGCACTGTAGATACACTTTCTGGCAATTTTGGTAAACCTACTGGAGGAAAATGTAACCAAAATGACACGTATGTCTTCAGACAACATAGAGGAAGAATATCTTAACTTCTTCACTGCTATGGGTAAATATACGTTCTTCCCTAGAGCACTGCCGTGGATATACATGCATATATATACATGTGTGTGTGTGTGTAACACTTTACAACTTTTGTTTTAACTTTTAAAATTGAAAAGTATGATATTAACTACATGTAAGTTTGGAATATTTCAAGTTTCAGATTAAGTAACGAAATACTACCTTTTGATCTGTGTTGTGTACTTAGAAATAAACGTGGGAGGTAAAGAATTAAGATAACTAGGTCTTCAGGGAACGTGGGGAAAGGAACATTTGTTAGGTTGCAACTATGTTTTTACTAATAAGTTGGCCTGGCACGGCCTGGTGATTAGGATACTCGACGGGTCACGAGCTCAAATCCCGTCATCAAACATGCTCGCTATTTCAGACGTGAGGGCGTTATAATGCTAAGGTCAGTCTCACTATTCGTTGATAAAGTTGGTGGTGTTGGTTAGCTGCCTTCCTTCTAATCTACCACTTAAAAGGGACGGCTAGCATAGATAACCCTCGGTAAAGAAACAAACAAACAAAGCTTAACAAGCTCCGTTTCTTTAACTAGTTTATATTTTGAACTGTGTTTACCGTATTTATCATTACTTAATGCAGTAAATATTGGTGAAATAGAACAAATTGTGACATCTCTAAAGCGTGGATGTCTTTCTCAATGTTTTCTGTGAAAATTTGGTCAGCGTTTTGCAAGTGTCCGATTAAGAGGAACAAGTTGCTTGTAACAGAGATCACAAGTTAAATAATTTTTGTTAATTTATTCAGCTAAAAAAGGTAATTGTCTAACTGATAATCTTGTTTGTTACTAAACACAAAACTACATGATAGGCCACCTGTCGAAACTCGATTTTTAGCGTTTTTTAGCTCTCAAACTTATCGCTGAGCTACTGGGGCAAAGTGTCTTTTTGTAACGTAAAACTAATTTTGCTCTGTCCTTCGCGAGGAATCGAACACCGAATTTTAGCATTGTAAGTCCGTAAACTTAACACTGACCTACCAGCACCACTATTAAGAATCTAGTATTTTTTTTATATGATTATACTACTAATGTTTTGGAAAGGACGTGACTAGCTTAGACTGTGTATGAAGAACTAACAGACAACTTTAAAAATAGCTACTAAAGTTAATTCCTGATATTTTAAAAAGTGTTATGGAAATATGAAATTGCGCTTTGATGCTAAAGTAAA